TAAACTGAAAAACAAAATATTTAATCTTTGTGACACTTAAATAGAATTTGCATAATTTGTAACAGGGTGTAATATACATCTGCATAGCATGTTACCTTAAAGTGAAAGGAGACAGTGAGCCAACACTTGACTCTTTGGCTATAGAACCTTTATCAAGAGTGAGTATCCTCCACTAAACAATGGCTTATTCAGCCCCCAGTTGCTACACGCAAGCCTGCCCACAATTTCCCCAATATACGATTCTTGTTGCTAGGCAACTGCGAAAAAAAACCCAGTAACAATTCAGTACATTGCCATAACACTGTCAAAGACCAATCTCAGATGTGCATAGGAGATCAAATAAAAACGGTCCACCACAACAGACCCGCCGTATCATAGAATAAGATGAACAACCAGATGTGCTTTCTGGACAGAACCCGGACACAGAGATGATGGTAGAAAACATTTCATCTAGAGTGTTAACCCCATTCAATGAACAAGAACTTAACAAGGGAGTGAGCTTTATTGCAACACGTCATGGCAATAGGCTAATTACCAATTTGGAGCTATAGAATTTTTTTCAGACTATTAGAATTAATATTTTTGTGTGTGGACTTGTTTTTTGCGTTTTTTTAAAACCTTTTAAATCAAAATGAGCACTAAAAATTTGTCATATTTTGCCAGAAGCAAGTCAAAGAAAAACTGGCACAACTTAAGAAAAGACAATTTCCTTCTCAGTCCTTCATCCACAAAAATAATTTGAGTTAACTCTGTATACTCCGAACAGTGGTCAATACTGATAAATAAACCAGAACAGGTAACACAGATCTAAGATTTCAGGCAGCAATTCACCTTCAGATAACAAATAGTGAGAGAAAAATAATTTAATTCAATGGTGCCCATCACAAGGCTTTGAAAAAATTTTTTGATTTAGTTTTTTTAAGAGAATGATCAAGGGTTTCTACAGCAAAGTATAGGTAGGAAAACAAATGAACTGCCATAAAATGCAGAACCAAGTATATGATAATACCCATCTTTTAATGAAAGTGGCAAAAAAAAAAAAAAGGAAAATCATCATAAACCAATTCAACCTTTCCGATAAGAAGCCGGTATTAAGGTTGTGAATTCTGCATAAATGCTTCTGTAACAGAGTGTCACGTATTCATCCGCTTATAAAAATGTGGTTAATGGCATTTACTGTCCACACAGGAAAAGTTGTGCCGAGCAGCAACCAAATCCACAGAAGGGTTAATGCTGAGCAGCAATTATGCAAATGGAATCTGGTAACTGCCTTTGGGGTCAAAGGCCGGTTACAGCCTATCAGATCTAGAGGAGGGGTATTTAGGCCCAGTTTTCATCCTGCTCAGTGCCCTGTCATGGTTTCCCTTGTGGTTGTCCGAGAGCGCATTATTGATTCTGGTTATTCTGGTTATTTGACTTTGGCATTGTTTTTGACTTCCCTGTTTTCTGGCATCCCTGACTCCTGGCTTTTCCTTATCGTTGTGTCTCTTTCTGTATCCCTTGACCTCGGCTATTCCTGACTATTCTTTTGTACGTTAGTCCGGCCATTCTAAGGTCCGGTATACGTTACCTATCAGTCCTTTGTGTAACACAATTCTACGCGCTGGATCATTCTGTAATCCTGACACAGTGGTGCTGAATGTTACTTTTATATTGAATAATAAAGATTATAGAAAAAATGTGTGTGAATATATTATGATGAATTTCTCGGTTAAAGAGAAACTGTCACTTCCCTGTTGAAGGTATCCCTTATGTTTAAAAAACAATGTTTTGTGAAATATGAAGAAAAACTAATTGTGTAGAAATTCACACCTTTTTATCCTGGAACTATGTGCCTCCATCTCATTTCCCTGTATTTAACTGAAAGCTCTTACCCATGTACCTAATAGTCAGACAAATCATGCAGAGAAAAGGAGAAATGAAAATGTTTTTTAGGTTTCCTGCTCATTTGTGTTGTGTGCCTTGATTGTGCCCTGACTGAACTGGATTGTGATGTCAAGTTATCTTTACTATACGTTTAAAATTAAATGAAGCATGGGAATTTCAACCATTATTCAATAGTATAATTCCCAGAGAAGTGAAAAGTGATCCTTAAAAAAAAAAACACAACAGGGATCCACCAGAAAGTATAGAATTGTAAAAAGAAATATTTATATTATATAAAGTAAAAATGGTGACATATTTGTTTGTCTGGGTGAAAAACTATCCAATGCTGATCCAGCAGTGAGTTCTAAAAGGAGCGCTCTACCATTAGAATGGCTACAATGTTGCCTGGCCTAATGGCTACACAATATCAGGCATTTTTGCAATGCCAATTCTGAGCATCTAAAATAATTATACATCAATCTTCAAGACAAAAATAATAATATAATATAAATTATATATCAATCTCAATTACAAAAAATTAAAAAGTAAGACATGAGAACTGAGGGAAGAAGCTTGCAATTTCCAAAACACAAGCAGTTGCACAAAAGCACACTAAAATTCAAAACATCTCTCTGAAATAGAAAAAAAAAAAAAAAAAGAAAATATGTGTGGGAAAAAACAAACAAAAACAATTGCCCAACCAGCGTCCAACTACATAGGTGGAAGTAGCAGGTGTACTAAAATACACAGACAGGCAGTGGAAAACAACTACAATGAAAATTATCTGAAAACATTACAATCTACAAAAATTTTAGAAATATTTTATTTTTTACAAATAGTTAAAAAAAAAAAAAAAAGCGCGTTTTGCAGTCAGTGTAGGCAGGGCTCACAGTCCATATTAAGGACTGACATTGGGATAGGGTGTAAGAAGACTGGCTGCATTTTATGTCCTATCCTTTCTTTGGGATAGTGCACTTTTTCATTTTCTGAACCAAATAACTCACATCCCAGACAAACATCAAAAATGAAAATAAATATAAACATATGAGAATATACAAAAACACTGGCTGATTAATGTGCAATAAGCAGATACAGTCCAAGAACTGTGACTTAACAGTCTTCAAGAGAGCAATTTCTGCATATTTCATTATGCTTTTTGTAGATTTGCTGTTACAATAGTTAGGTAGAAACCTTATTCTATATTAGCAAGGGTAACATTATAAGCCATCCCAATACTCATATCTGAATTTCATTTAGACTCTAGCTTTTCCTCTAGCAGCTGGCATATACGCAAGCAGTTAATGGAATATTGAAACAACAGAGCAGAATCTACTTAAACTGAATTTCATGCCAAAGAAAAAAAAAATGATTAAAAACAGATTAATAAACAATTGTCCAAAATACATCCAATTTCCTCTGAAACCTAATCTTTGAAAATATATTTTCTCTTATATTTTCTTACAAAGATATGTTCTTTTCTATGGCTGCACCCTCTTTTGAAATACTTAGGTGATTCAATTCAAAAAAAGACATCAGTTCTGATAAAAAAAAAAAAAATGCATTTATTATTTTCAATTCCAGTATGATTTTTATTTTAGCTGTGATCCACAAAACCAAAAGAAATTCTGTTATTAGCTTGTTCCAAACCCTCTGTTATAAAGATGGAGAGCACATTGTCACCCACTATAGACGACTGAATGGAAGAGTGTCATTTCGACAGAGCAAAGAAATAGAGAAACTACGTGCAGCCGCAAAGTGTTCTTTTTTTATATTTTACCCAAGGCATCTCAAAAAGAAGTTGTTCAATGAAGCAAGAACAATCATCATTCTCATTAGGAGAAAATGCCTTTGTTTATGCAAATTGTATTAACAATGTAAACAATATAATATTATATGTTGAAAGCATGGAATAAACAATTTTTTTTGCAGAGGTCACAGAAACAGTCACAGTTTACACAGTGCTACTAATATTTACTCTGTTTAGCAGCCCGGTTATTGTAGTGACCAGTCCTGCCTTTGGTTGTTGAAGGGATACTCCAAGCACCAAAACCACTTTAGCTTAATCAAACAGTTTTGGTGTATCAATCATTTCCTTGCAGTTTCACTGCTCAATTCTCTACTACTTAGTAGTTATTTCATTTTTTTTTTTTTTTTTTTTAATCAGACCTAACCACACATCCTCTGGCTGTGACTCACATAGCCAACATTAAAACATGTTTTCATTTTAATCAGATCTTTAAGCACATTGTGTTTACCTTAGAAGTTTTCTCACTGGTTTGTTAACTGAATCTTCATAACAAAAAGAGGCCTCTGCAGGCTCTAGCAGTTTAATAACAGAGCAGGAGGTATGAAAAAGAAATCAAACACACTGTGCACTAAGGTAAGCTAAAAAAAATTAGATTATTTTTCAAGAAGTGTGTAGGAAGGCTCAGGGCCGGATTACCATAGGGGCTGATGGAGGTGCAGCTTCAGCCCTATGTCCATGGAATAGGCCAGGCATAGGCAAACTTCTGTACTCCAGATGTTTGGACTACACCTCCCTTGATGCTTTGCCAGCATTATGGGTGTAAGAGCATTATGGGGGATGTAGTCCACAACATCTGGAGTGCCGAAGGTTGCCTATCCCTGGAATAGGCCCATTGATTTAAAAAAAAATAAAATAAAAAAGTAACTTATTTTTCTTTTTTTACACATTACTCTTAGGGTTGCCACCTGGCCGGTATTTATTTGAGGCTGCCTGGCCGGTGTCGATATTGCAGTAATGCCAGCAATACAAATGCCAGTATTTTTCTCAGTATAAACAGAGATTACTCTGCAATAACAGCACCATCCAGTAGGGGCCACTGTGTCTGTGTAGAGAGGCAGGGATAGGAAGTTACAGCATATACCTGCAACTCTCTACACACTGATCTGCAGGGGAGCAGGTACACAACACAGAGTCCAGACAGTAGCTCCCAGCCTGCAGAGATAGCCTACAGCTCAGAGAAGTGAGGGATAGGAGACACTGTAAGACATGGGGCACAGGGAGACCTCTGGGGACCATGAGACACTTGGAGACACAGGGACACTAGGGCACACTGAGACACTAGGGCACACTATAAGACATGGGAACACATACACTTGGGGACACAGACACCCATAGGGACACTGAGACATGGGGACACTGGGAGACATGGGGAAACAGACACTAGGGACACAATATCCCCAAATGTTTGTGTCCCCATGTCTCCCAACCAGTGTCCCTGGTGTCAGTGTTCCCATGTCTCCCAGTGTCCCTAGTGTCTGTGCCCATGTCTCCCAGTGTCCCTAATGTATGTTTGCCCATGTCTCCCAGTGTCCCTAGTGCCTGTCTCCCCAGGTTTCCCAGTGTCCCCATGTCTCCCAGTGTCCCCTAGCGATATGGGGACACTGAAAGACATGGGGACACTGGGAGACATGGGGACACTGACACTAGGGGACACTGGGTAACATGGGGACACAGAGACATGGGACACTGTGATGCATAGTCTCAGTGTCAAAGTCTCCCAGTGTCCCCAAGTGTGACCCTAGTGACATGGGGACACAGACATTAGGAACAATCCTTCTATACATAATCAAACTGTAAGTAGTTTTTGTTGGTGATTTTACAGAATTTTCATTAATGTAACTCCTTGTGATTTACATAATGTGCTGTCACACATACATAATTATACAAATTAGTAAGGCCTAACTACTCTTCACATACTCTTGCTTAAGTATGGAAACTTAAGATGGATACATGGAAGCAAAACTTGTGTGGACTAGCTGAAATGAAAATAGTTAAGGTAATGCTGACTTTGGTCTCTCTAACACTGTGGCATGTTCCCTTTCTTCTACACTCACTACATCCACCTCTGTCTCAGACTGTATATCAGGAGCTTCTGCCTGCTAGTAGTGCTAGGGGACAGCCCTTGAAAGAATGGAGTGAGCAAATCATTAGACGCATTTATGCCATGCTCAGGATGCTGTTGACCAGCATGCATGATTGGCAGGCAGCCTGACATGCATTCATGCCAGGCTAGCCTTCCAATTCTTTGGGCAGACATGTCTCCTTTTTGGGCATGTCCATCCCTTTCGGGAGTTCTGGTTACATGAGCCGTGTCAATGGTCCACCCTTTTACACAGCCCATTGACTTCCTGCTTCACTGGACACTGCTGTTAGGGGGTATGGTTTTACTGGAGAGAGAGTAGCATATTTTAAGAAAATCTGAGTTTTCTTATAGCTGCATCCTATGAGCTTCCCTCTGGCAACATCTCCACCAGATACATAACACTTGAGAGGTATGACTGTTTTACTATTTTTGGTCGATAAGATTCTGTACTTAGGCCCCTCATAATTGTCAGCAGCAGGCCCACTGGGTGCTTAATCTGGCCCTGGGGAGGCTGTGTGAGTCTCAGCCAGAGAGGTGTAGTTAGGGTTGCATAAACAAAGGGTATATTTCCTAAATAGAGAATTGACCATTGAGACTGCAGGGGCATGATCTAAACCCCAATACTAACATATATTCCTTTAGTTTACACTGTGCAACACAATGAAGTTCCCATAAAGAATATGCAGCCCTACCACACCTCCCACACGTCTGTGCATGTCATTTACACAACCTTCCTAAAAACTTCCAAAGAGAAATCTAATCTTTACACATTCTTTATTGCACATTTATTTTTAATGTATAATTTCTTATCACCTGCTATGTTAATACATTTTAGACCCTGCAGCAGCCTCATGTGCGTGATTAAAGTTCAATTTACAGAGCAGGATATATATTTTAAAAAAATAAATAAATAACTTCTAAAGCAAGATAACGTCTTAATGAAAATAAAAACCTTTTTCATCCAGGTTGTTAGTCACCACCATGGGAGCTGTAAGTGGGGCTGTATAACCAGATAAAAAAGGGATTTAACTCCCAAATGGAAGATAATTTAACAGTGAGACTGCAGGGGCATGATCTATATACCCAGACTTCTTCATTAAGCTAAAGTTGTTTTGATGCCTATAGTCTTCCTTTAACAGAGGAATCTGCATTAATAGTGTGGTGACAAATGGGAGAGCAATTGTGGTGGTAGTGTGTTTGGAAGGATATCAGCTGTTGAAAGATCCAAAATAATATTGTGGCTATATTGAGCTCCATTTAAACCTGCAGTGGAACCCCTTCAAGTGGCATTGTTGTGCAGTGCAGTGCAGTGGAGTGGAACAGCAAAGGAAAGAAAATAATGTGTATTCTTTGCAACCAAAGTCCATGGAGGGCTGTTGTGGAAGCATATTAGAAGATGTAACAGCCAGTAATTTAAGCAGCCAAGTGAGAGTTGAAAGTTGCTGTTGATGTTTCTGAGCCAGTAGATAAGTATTGGTATCCCCAAGTCAGTGTTGTAATCCAGAAAAAAAAACTGAAAAGGAGAAAAAAAATAAAGAAAAATCCAACCAAAGTATGTACAGTTCATACACACACACGGAGATGGGATGTTCCTACTATAATGTAGGCAGATTGCTATGTTACAAACTGCTTATATTTAAAAAGATGACTGTGCTCACAGTCCACTAGTATGGTATTTGTATGAAATCTAGATGACCAGCATGGTGTCAGAGGCCTTACAATAATGGCCTGGCTGGCTAGTGTTCTACTTCAATCCAACGGATTGTAAGGGGGATAGCACCCCAAAGTTCTATTATAACTGGTAGGATTAGCGATTGAGTAATTATTTACTCTACGCTTCTAGTTAAATCTCGCCCCACAGGAGAAAGTGCCTTGCAGGAGAAAGAGGCCGTTGTCGTAAACCCATGGGAGGAGGCCTGGATAAACAGAGAATGCCCAGAAAGTGGTTCTTCAGGGTCCTCTCGACAGAGGGTAAAATGGTGTAAGCCTGGGATGGTGCAGAGAGGGCCAGGTGGTAAACAAATGGTATTAGATAAAGGCGGTTTATTAAACTCAGTGTCAATGGCTCCTCTCCAAGCCATGCAATATATATGGTCACAGAGAGTGTTCTCAGTCACCTTTTTTAATTTAAATTGAATAAAAGAATAAAAGAAAGAGAAAGAAAAGCAAGATAAGAAGTCATACAAGGTAAAATGAGTAATTGAGTAGATCGCTCAAGAAGTAGAAGCAAGTAGTATAACATGAGAAAAAACAGGTTGGTGATTACGTCACGTTAAGCCAGTACAATAGTATGCATGGTGGTAGTTTAAATGCTACATAGGATTCGAGGAGCAATCCCTCTGCCCATATCATTAAAATAAACAGCAGAAAAACATGTGCTCAGATTATAATTGAAAAAAAATAATAAAATAAAATAGACAGGATTTTGTAATCTGAGTGCGGAGACATAAGATATGTTGCCGTTGGGCGATTGCATAGGAAGGGTGCCATAGTGGCTTCTCCACACAGAGTGCACACAAAATGATATAAAACAGAAAAAAAAAAGTCCAAGTCTCTAGGCCAGTCCACTGGCCCTTAAGCAGTGCCCACCATTCTGGCCACTAACAGCACAGAAACAGTGTTCTCAGGAGGAGGAGTTTTCAGTGCGCTCTTATAGGTGCCACTTCATGGTTCTCCAAGGGTGTGAGCTATTTAGAGGGGACAGAACCCTGGAGGCTCCGTACACAGGAAAGTAAGGACAGGCATGTATTTCAAGGCCTGCGGCAAACAGGCGCCATCAGCTTTGGAGCTTAACCCAGAAATTGAGGCAGAGCTGAACAAATGCTTAGAGGAACGTGTCCACATGGGACAGCTGTGTCTTCCCATTAGGGTGAGTTGAGAGCCACTGTACGGCAGCCATCTTGGAGGACAGACCACTTGTAGTCAAACAATCAGGCCAGCAACAAACTCCAGGGTGAGGCTAGGTGAGCACACCTGCAGGGACCAGGATAAGCCCCACCAGTATGGGGAGCGAGGCCAGAGTATAGATCTTGGGGGATCAGCTGTCTCCACCACTCCAAGTGAGTTTACAGGCTGCAAGCCACTCAAATGCTAAATCTGTCCGTATAAGTCAGCAAAATTACAGGTAACGGGCAGTAGAGTATTCTCCAGGTAAGTAGAGTAAAGCACTAAGTAGAAATCATGAAATATATCCTGATTTGGTGAGTAAGAACCAGTTGGTTTCACAGGAGCACCTCTCACATGTGACTTATTCAGTGGGCAGACAGGCCCTGTCCCCCTTCAAACCCAATGCAAATCACATTCAATATCAAGGATTACTTTCTTTGCCGTTCATATTGAATACAATGGAAAAATGGATAGAATCATTGGTAAGATGCTGATATCCTAAAAACATACAAATCTTCAAGTCAACGACAAGGATCTCAGTTATCGCCATTTGTTTCCAGGTGTTTCCCTTATCTTTATTTATAATCAGTACAAAAATCTTAATAAATACAATAAATATTTGCTTCTACAGAAAAAAATGCTCCTACTATCAAAACTTTTCTAGATTTTTAACATATGCTTTTGTTAGGTTTCCTTATTAGCTTTCCAAATTCGAGTAATACTTTCCAAATACTTCTTATTCATCAGAAAGCTGTCTCTAAACGTGTAAAGTACAATATATCCAGGCCATAGTACTAAGAAACTTGAATTGATCAAGTGTGGACTCATTAAAACACCAGGGGAAGTTGGATCAATTCAGCTGCAACACTGCTGGTGAAGATAAGCAGTTACATATCCCAAGATAGTTGGCCCTTTCACTGCTAAACTCCCATAGGCTAGACACACAAATTAACCTTGTCTATACCGAGTAAAACATTTACACCCTTACAAATGTTATCTGAACCAATGTCCAAGACGTAAAGAATATTTCACTCTACAAACATTTCATTTTGCCTGATACATAAGATAACAGCTCAATATGGTCATCCTACTATATTTAAGTAGTGGAATGTAACAAGAATACAACTCAGCTGCCATACTATTAATGTACAATTCCTCTTTTTAACATCCCAAAAAAAGACTTCTGTATACCATAAATACACTACATAGAATACATATATGCAATCAGAAATGATTTACATTTTCCTTTTCCTGCTCTGGGAAGGAAAAAAAAAATGAATATACCGGGAGTGCAGAATTATTAGGCAAATGAGTATTTTGACCACATCATCCTCTTTATGCATGTTGTCTTACTCCAAGCTGTATAGGCTCAAAAGCCTACTACCAATTAAGCATTTTAGGTGATGTGCATCTCTGTAATGAGAAGGGGTGTGGTCTAATGACAACACCCTATATCAGGTGTGCATAATTATTAGGCAACTTCCTTTCCTTTGGCAAAATGGGTCAAAAGAAGGACTTGAC